AATCTGGCTTTGGTGCGGATTGTGGCTAGACATTCGTCTACCGGGGTGAACGCCAGTACTCGGCGACGGAGTACGTAGCGGAACGCAAACCCAATGCACGCGACGTCTTACGCGGGTGTTTGGTCGGTACCCAAAGGATACGAAGATATGAATTTCTGAACGTAGTGTGCTGCGATTTGCACCATTCGCTAACCAATCACTTCTGGCCAGTTCCTGGTGAATGACAGTCAGAAGCTTTTCCTACTTACAAGGACTTCTGCACACGGAACATTAAGGATTAGTTTAAAAATAATCGTGAACAATGTTAATTCTAACTATTTAGCTGCTTTGACTTTCATAACTAAATAAAAATATATATATATTTTTTCAGAAGTAAAGCAACAAACGCGTGAAAATCCCTATGAAGTTGGTCAGATTAAAATGTCTTTGCAATATCGCCGCGGTGTCTTAACGGTGATGGTAAGTAAATAAAAGAATATACATATGAACATATTAACGTGATTGCTTTGAACTCGAAACAAAAATAAAAATTTTAATCTCTAAATTATTTTATATCAAAATTTTGACAGTTCAGTCAAAGTTTGGAGGTAATCGCGACTTTAAAAATTTTTTCCTCTATGCATAGATTCATAGTTGTTTGCATTGCTGCGTATTTTTAGTAAAGGCTTTTTAAATGAAAAAATAAAAAATAAAAATCCGATTTATTAAACTATCACAAATTCTTTGCCAGATTCACCATGCGAAAGGCTTGCCCATGCTGCAAGGGGGTCAAGAGCCTAACACCTACGTCAAATGTTATCTCAAGCCGGATACAACAAAAGTGACCAAACGCAAAACAAAAGTGGTACGAAAAACGTGTGTGCCCAGCTTTATGGAGACGGTAAGAAGCTAGCAAATTTTTTAATTTACATACATATGTGGTAATCTCTTCTTTCTCTCCCCTCGCTCTAGCTCGAGTATCGCATGCCATTGGAACATATACAAAATCGTTTATTGCATGTCACTGTATGGTCACACGATACATTGCAGGAGAACGAATTACTTGGCGGCTTTCAAATCGATCTGAGTAAATATGATTTACGTAAAGAACTGATCGATTGGTTTCGACTTGGACCAATGCCTAGAAATTGAACAGCGAAGTGCGCTAGGGCCGAACACAAACTAGCTAGTAGCTGTAGAATAAAATTGGGAAAAAATTACTTTGAATGGCGTTAGATGCAAGTGAAATTATCGCCAACTAGTTCGCTATTATCTAACAAAGAACCGCAACGAGGTTTTCGAAAACTACTTGCAAAGCAACAGTATTTCTTTCGCACATATAGACACCGCTACAGGGATGTCCGTTAGGGGCTGATAAAAAAAAGAGTATCTATTTACACTTACAAACAGAGTATAACCCAAGCAGCAGGCAGGCGGTTGAAAAGAACAAAGTTCTTACAGATATATATTTTTATAAATAACTTTACTTACAAATCTCTCTGCAGGACTGCACTTATAAAATAGACATTCCAATTATGCTTATGAAACTTAGAATCGAAAACACTTAGAAGTTGAAAAATATTACACATACGTAAGTAAGGGGATACTAAATTTTCCTACGATTAATTGTAGATTTCATTCAGGCACAGAAAATGTAAAAAAATATGGAAGCATAATTCAAGGCGCACAGCATTCGCCGGCGATTGTAAATTTTTGGCGAAGTATTTTTTCAAGCTAAAACTCCACAACAAGTCTTGCAGGTGTCTCAGGTTTTCAGCGCTCTATTCAGCCATAATTTTTATATGCCGGCGTGATTGCCGAAATCTACAACGCCTGAAAAACTTGTTGTGTAGTTCTTGCTTAATCGTAAATATTTGCCTATAAAATGTTAATATTTGCTTTTTGTATTTCGTAGTTGGCACAAATTCTATCCTTCTTTTTACAAGAAGCTCACACTAGGATTTTTTTTTTTGTTTTTTGCAGACGTGGGATATTCAAAGCGTACATTTATTTGAATATTGTTAAAAATTTAAAATAATATGGCTTAGCTTTGCATGGTCTCTTCGCTCAAAAAAAAATTGTTTATGCTTGCAGTTGTATAAGCTCTATTTGCTATCACTGTTTGCTGCTTCTTGTTTAAGATTTAAATGTTTTTTCGTTGTTTTCGTTAAGATTTTCTTCTAAATTTCCTAATAGAGCATTATTGACCCTTTAACTATTACGATTTATGTTTATATAACAGAAATGCTACTTATTGTTAATATCTTTGATAATTATTTATTTGCGATAAACGCATTTTTGCGACAATTATTGGATATTTATGTATTGCAATTTGTAGGTTAAATAAAACAACAAAATAATAAAATCGTCTTCACTATAATTTCTCGTATGCATACATATGTATTTCAATACAAAAATTGCATTATGCTTATGTAGCTCTTAAAATTTGTAAATATGAAAAAAATAAAAATAAAAATCATAAAGAAAATAGAGAGTAAAGTGAACTGAAAGTTATCAATGTCAGCGATTATTGAGTGTAAGCTGCATAGATGAGGAGAGGTGGATGAAAATATGTATTGTATTTGTAAAAGTATTTCGGCACTACTATTATGTTACAACTAGATTTGAAAATTGTTTAATTATATCTTATTTATGTTAACACTTAACAGAAGCGCGCCTTTAAAATCTCTTAACAAACTTAACAATAAGACAATGAACCTCAAATTAATTATAAACAAGAAATTAAACAAAACAAAGTTATGAAAAAAAAATAAATAAAATAAAATAAAATAAAATAAAATAAAATCAAATATAATAAAATAAAATACAATAAAATGAAATGAAGTAAAATTAGAAATTACTTAAGCGAACATTATGTCGGGTCGGTCCTCATACTATAGAAACAAGTTTAGAAATACCGACATTCTCCCAATTTTGAAAGCTTATTTTAAGAGTATTTTGACGTCATAAAAATTTCTTACTTAGCAATGCCTTCGAAACAGCCAAACTCGTTTGTATGTAGATCATAACGTTTTTGTAACTAGATACCACTGAATCAGTCTGGCTGGCTTAGTGTGATACAATCCAATCAGGTTCTCCATGCGAGATTATTTCACCGACGTCAATATCCTTAATCCTTTCCTCTCCTCTCCCTTGGATATTTTAGAAAAATCTCCGATTTGAGTGGCGCGGTTACTAAATGGTGAAAGCGCTTTTTAAGCGAAGGCTTCGCTCATCAGGGGGCCAATCAGAAGGTCCTGGATAGGGGAACGACCAGAAGAAGAGGCGGATTGGAGGGATAGACTCCAAGCAGAGAGTTGTTCGACGACATCTCCCTTTCGGCCAACCCTCTTTGCTCTGGGTATTGCAGCAGGCTAAACTCGTACCTGAGCAGAGTAAACGAAGATGTGCCCAACCAGTGCCCGGCACGAGGAGAGTCGCCATATGACTCACGGCACCTCCAAAACCCCACCCAGCTAACGCCCCTGTCCCTATGGACAGACCCAGTTGACGTTGCGTACTTACTGGGCCTCCCCTTAGACGACAACGCTACAACAACAAGCCAGCTTAGTGGTGCCGCTACAACAACAATAACAACGAGCCAACAACGACACTTCAAGCACCATCCATCGCAAACGAAGAGCTTCAGCAGCTTCGTTATAGCCGCGTGACTTTGGCGCGACAAAGGTCTGGGATACTGTAGCAGAGTTAGCTCCTACTTATCCAGAATTGACCGCGACAACCCAACACACGACACCAATCACCTATTCACTTTACTCCTTAAACCCGTTTAGCTTCTGGGCCTACCGCTAGTTGACGACCACGATTTATAGAGTAGCCGATTTAGTCGGACCTTAGTAGCGGCACAATAACATCAACAACGACCCAAGTCCGACTGCTGATTGTCAGTATATGCAAAATATGCCACCAGTTTTTCGTAACAGCCTGTGCGGCAAACTGGTTTTGAACTAACCAGGTTCTTGATCCTCTGAATNCTGATTGTCAGTATATGCAAAATATGCCACCAGTTTTTCGTAACAGCCTGTGCGGCAAACTGGTTTTGAACTAACCAGGTTCTTGATCCTCTGAATTTTTAGGCTCTAAATCTTGCCGTGAACTGCACCGTTGTTATTGTAAATCACCAGAATCGAACTGATAACCACGCTCGAGAACGAGGAGTGACGGTGATTTGCGGTTGGTGATTGAGGATGCATTTTTTTTGTCAATTTATTCTTTTTCGATAGGTCCACTTTGAGTATTTTCCCAATCCGACACTTTTATTGATTAAGCTATTTAACTAATACTAGGTATTAGTATACCAAGAAATATATTCTAAGAAACTGTAATAAATCTGTAATTTGAAAGTCTGCAACAAAGTAAAACTATTTACAATTAGATATGTACGTATGTATCTAAGATATCTGATGGGCAGGTGTGGACTGAGGGAGAAAGAGAGCTAATAAGAGGGCATTTTACGAAATTTTCTTAAAATTTCTAACGAACGAAAATACATACAATGAAAAGCAAGTGCAAAAAAAAAACAAGATTTGGTACGCAACAAACATTTTCTTTCTTTTAATTTACATATGTATGTGTAGATGTTAAGAAAAAAAATTAAAATTAAAAAAATCTGAACCTATTTTATTTCCTAATATTTGTAATAAAAATTGTAATTATGCAACAGTATAGTATTTATAAATTACTTTTCATTACATAATGTTTTTAAAAAGTAATAAATAAATGTTTAGTAATTAAAAAAATTTAACAAATTTTGTTTATTTGTAAGTTTTTCTTCTTCTTTATGTGCGCTTTAAGCGCCATGTTAATCATAGGTGCCCAACCCTCTACTCTACTAAATCTTCTTCCCACCGATCTTTACGTTAGTTATAGAGCCAGTTGTAACAAAACAAGATTGAATGCTGCTCATAGATGGATTAGAGAAGAGTGAGCTTAAGTAAAAAGCTATGCGAGACTCCAGTGACCGTAGATTTGTTTCGTTTCCGGCGTTGCTATTTTTAAGCCGCATTATGGCTGTTCTAAGTTTGTCTTGATCTAGTGGAGGGAGGTGAGCTTCGTGCTACATACATACGTGGATACATTGGTCTGAGTTCATCTCAGTCCCGCGCCACATGTTTCGCTGTGCAAAAGAGCTGAGAAGTATTCCCACCATATCTTAAGTGTACCTCGGACGTCTGATGCTATGTACTAGCATCTCTAGCTCTTTGCACTAATGGCTCGTCGCTTCTCTTTTATTCTACTTGTTTCCCTGCAGCATGGAAATAGTACTTGTCGCCATACGTTTTGCTTCTATTGGAGATTGGAATATGGAATTCCACTACTCATTAATATCTAGGCAGTGATGGTTGTTTGAGTAGATTAGAGAGTCGAGTCGTTAAGATTTCGAGCGCTGCTTGACGGACGCTGCACATTACGAAGAGTCTCATGCGTACCTTAGCTGCAGGGAAGTAATCTGAGCCGGTGTGGATTCATTTCCATTTTTTTCGTCTCCCACAACGTAATCTAATTGGGGCTTGATGTGGCTTTGTGGTTATTTTCGATGCTGGTGTCTGGTACTAAGTACTAACTCCATAACGGTACAAAGTCGATAAGCCTTTCTTCATTGTTGGAGATGCTGTCCACAAGGCTGAAGTTTCCCACAGTTAAACAACATTTACATTCAAGTGTCAAAGTACGCATCGTGTTCCAAAGTGCATGGGTTTCAGAAAGATATGAACGGACGCAGTTGATTTTAGCGAGCCTTCATACTAAAATCCCAGGTTCTGGTATTGCGCTAACAAAGTTGCAATGAGAAGGACGAATGGACATAGCCCTGCAGCCTTGCAAGTATTCAACTAGGTACTGGCAAGTTGTAGCAGAGGAAGAAGAAAGGATTCCCATGCGAAGGAAAGGTCAGGTAGAGAAGAGTTTGGCTTATTTGGAATTTCCAATCGGTGTCAGATGAAGAACGAATGGTGTGCAGGTGGTTACAAAGCCAAAAAAGAGGAAGAAGACAGAGTATTTATTTTATTTATTTATTTAAAGTTTATAGCAGAGGGTATCAAATAAATTAAACAACGCTGCTCTAGCAACGGAGGCTTTCGGATGACTGGTGAGGACTTTCTAATTAGATGCGACTTAGAAGATCTAAATCCTTCAGGAATTTATATACCTTACAAATGAAT